TCTCTCTCTCTCTCTCTCTCCCTCCCTCCCTCCCTCCCTCCCTCTTTCTCTCTCTCTCCTCTCATAGAATACATCCCCACTGCAACCTCCATTCCTTCCACTTCTCCTGATCCCCTACCCACCTCCCCTCTCTCAGATCCACTGCTCCTCCGTTTTCCTTTCAAAAAGAGCAGCCCTTCAAGGGATACCAACTAAATATGGCATAAAAAGATGCAATAAGACTAGGCCCAAACTTTCATATTAAGACTGGATGAGGCAACCCAATACGGGGAAAAGCGTCCCAAGAGCAGGTAAAAGAGTAGAAATTACCCTAACCCCCATTGTTAGGAGTCCCATAAATACACCACATTAAACAACCACAATATATATGTGAGGACCTAGCACAGGCTCATGCAGGCTCTGTGATCGCTAGTTTAGTCTCTGTGAGCTCTATGAGCTCTGCCTAGTTGGCTCTGTGGACCTTGTTGTCCTGGTGTCCTCAACCCCTCTGGCTCCTACAATCCTTTCCCCCTCTCTCCTGCAGGGCCTTCCTGGAGTTATGCCTGACGTTTGGCTGTAGGTCTCTACACTTGCTCCCATCACATGCTGGAGGAAGCCTCTTTGATGATGAGTGGACAAGGCACTAATCTATGAATATAACAGAATATCATTATGAATTTTTTCATTGATCTTATTTGCCAGTCTTGTTTGGTTCTACCCTAGGTCTCTGGGCCATCCAGCTTCTGGTTCCTGGCTATCCAAGTAGTGTCTGGTACGGGCTTCCTCTTGTGGAATGGGCCTCAAGGTAGACCAGTCATTGGTTGGCCACTCCTAGAAGCCATTATTGCCTTAGCACATCTTTTAGGCAGGACAGATTGTGGGTCAAAGGTTTTGTGATTGGGTTGGTATTCCAATCCTACCCTTGGATACCTTGCCTGGTGGGTTATAGTAGATGGCTGGTTCAGGCTCCATATCCTTCATTTCTAGAAGTCTTCATCAGAGTCATTCTCATATAAGTTCCAGGAAGTTTCTACTGCTCTAGGTTTCTGCATTGTCCCTCAAGCCCACCCCCAAGTTCCAGTAGTCTCTCCCTGTACTCCATTGCTTCCTCCCCAACCTGATCCTTCCTGTTCCCTCATCACTTATCCCTTGTCTACCCACATAATTTATTCTATCTTCTCTTCCCAGGGATATTCAGGTATTACCCCTAGAGCCCTCCTTGTTGCTTACTCTCTCTGGATCTGTAGACTGGATCTACCCTTTACTTTGATTAAGGACCTGTGAAGGAATCTAATGTCTGATGAATGAGTTATATAGATCTATAAGCTTTGGGAAATGTTATATCAACAAAAATAATGTCAGAGTAGACTGAAGGCAACAGAAGATGAAATCACGGAAGTCTGTGGGATTCTTAAACTTTGTGAAGAACAACAGTGGATAAGATTACTCACTTGGAACCTTGTGCTACCTCTCAAAGGACACATGTTTCAAAGAAACTATTGGAGAGTCCAGGGGGAACATATCTGGCTATAGATAAAGTAATGGAATCAATAGAGCCAGGGAAAATGATATCACATCTCATGAGGTTATTGTTCTGCCCTGATATTCAATGATGTTTTACATAGTTGGGTTTTGACATTGACTGGATTGAAGATTCATTTCATTATACTTTCTTTCTTTTGGAATAGGAAAGTTATCGCTTATAAGTGAACTAAAACACAAGCAAAAAGCAGAAACAAGATATTAATAGAAAAGGAACTGGGGCTTGCTTGACTTTAACCCAACAAGATCTAAGAAAGCTACATCCTGACTTAAATGGAACACAAAGTACAGCTACAAACATTTATGTACCAGAAACACACCGAGCATTTCCTCTTCAAAAGAAAAAGGTGTTTTGGAAATTGGATAAAACTCATGTAGATATTGAAGGAATAAATGTTTAAAGGTGTACAGGCTTGTTAACCAAGCCTATTTTAGTAAGTAAATTGAACCAAAATGGATCTCAACACTGTGTGAAGAGGACAGTCAAACCAGCAAATGTATTTGACATGTTTATCACTGCCCTGTAATTAATGAAAGAGTGTAAAGACAGAAAGTTTCAAGTATAAACACATTATTATTTCTACAATGTTAATTCAAGTGTAAACTGAGGAGAGTTACAGTTCCCTCAAAATCAGGGTAGGATGGCCACACTGCTGTGATAGATATTTCTAGTCTCTGAGGCCTAGTCAGAACCCATAACCCACCAGGCACCAATGACATCTCAAAGCCTAAGATGTCATAAAGGTAGCAACTGACCAATGAGGTGCAGAAGCTGGGGGTGCCATGGGCCTGACTGAACATTTTCTTCAGAGAACCAGTCCTGCTGGTGAACCAGGCAGAGCTTACCGGAGCCCAATCCATCAAATCATCATGTCGGGGAAGAAAAGCCAAGAAAAGTCTTGCAATGACAACAAGCAGATGGAAGATCCTTCTTCTAGGCCTGAGGTACAGGTTCCTGTGAACTATGTATACCGCCTACTGCAGGAGGAGCAATATACCCCCTGCCTAGGTTCCACAACTTCAGATTTCCTCCTTGCCATGTTTGATTACCTTACCGACTATATCCTGGAGGTGGTGGGCTCCGAAGCCAACATCAACAGCCAGCAAAATATTTCACAAGATAGAGAGAGACAGAGAGACAACGACTGCGAATCCCCTCAAGCCTTCAAGAACACACCTTTCTCTCTGTTTGATGAGATGCCTGGACCCAGAAGGAATGGCTAAAGAATGGGGTACACAACCCAAGGGTGGGAAGCCTCACAGACTCGGCTAGAACCATGAAGGCTAATAGCAGAGTAGGCTCCCCTGGTGTCCATGAATACTAATAAAATGTTCAAATGAAAGCTAGTTGTTCTGACTTATTTCAACTTGTCTCTTTGGGTTGGAGGTTATCCACAAGATACCAAGGAAAGAATTAAAGATGGAAGTTATGCTTAGGAGTGGGTGTTTGAATCAAGGGAGCACTTCTCACTGGGGGTGGCTTGGGTAATGACCCTGGCAGGAGGAATTGGGCGGAGGGGAGGGTGGAGGGGAGGGTGGAGGGGAGGGCAGAGAAGGCTCCCTTGTTGGCTCTGAGTACAAAAGAAGCTTCAGAGAAGATAAAAGTTGGCTGTAACCTCACTGACAAGTTGTATTTTCAGTATGGTAACATAAAAGACACTACTGATAAGCAGAAATTGTGCAAGGAAGTCTTCTTTCATGGGATGGAAGGTCTCAGAGCAGAAGGAAATGGGCATCAGTGAAGGGGTACAAACAGTGGGTATGAGCCACATGAGTGGACGTTAGTGGGACAGAGTATTCACTTGATGATGCTGTGATGGTGAAGCCAGAAGGAAACATCCATTTTAGAAGAGGTAAAATGGTTAAACATCTAGTCTTAGGATATTTTTTTTGTTTTTCTTTGTTGTAGGGTTTTTTTTTTTTGGAGAGCCTCTGATTTATAGAAATCTAATCACTTCTAGGTAGAATATGGCAGAGAATCTAGCTTACCAGCTATTTCTACTGTCCATTTGTCTATTTTATCCCAGACCAATTCAGAATGTTATAATCAATGGGAATACTAGTCTTTTTTTAAAAATCTGGATGAAGGAATCATACTGTTTTCGTTTATATTTGACCCACGGTTGAATCTCAGACTTGAAGCTATAAACTCTTAATTCTCTGAACATGTATCCCCTCCTAGGCCTTTTGTCTCTGTAAAGGCTTGCCAATAGGGAATCAAACAAGTCCAACCTCCAAATTATACCCGAGGCACTAAACAAAGTCTGAGAAATGAAAACTACTTGATCACACAGAGCTGTTCATCCAACATGTTTAATCCATCTTGACAGGGTCAGTATCTGCTTGGGACCGCAAAGACCAAGTTCTCAGCACAAATGAGATTTATTTCCCTCAAAGGGACATGAGGAAAGGAATAAGAAACAAAGAGGAGATAGAGGACAAGGGAGAAGGGGAAGAGAATAAGGGGGGCAAGGGATACTTGTCCCAGAAGTAGGGGAGAGAGAAAAAATCTGCCTCTGGATAGAGGAGACAGACATGGCCTGTAGGCAAATGGCAGTTTATAGAGGTAAAAGGTGAAACCTCATGTCGTGATGAGGTATTTGATTTTAATTGAATAGGTTAATTAGGACAGCTAGAGAGAGCTTTCAATTGCTGGACTTCAGTACTTTGATAGTTGAACTTCGAGTGAGAACTGCAGGAGGAGAAAGTGGCCAAATAAGAGAATAGACCTTGGTGGCTAGCTTTAAGCGTGTAACCTCAAATCTTTGTTTTTGTTTTTTAGAAAGACAGAGAGAATGGGGGAGAAGGGCAAGCCTGCTAGTGCCATGTTTACCATGCTGAAAGCTGTGGTTAGGAGCTGGTGTTTGAATCAAGGGAGCACTTCTCAGTATGGGTGGCTTGGGTACACCTACTATGGCTTCTCCTAGATAAGGCCTTTCTCCTACAATACTGCCCTGAAATTGATTCAGAAGGCTATTTTTCTATAATTGAGCTATAACCATATGCCAAACCCCATTTTACACATTGGACATTGATCATAGTCTAAATATTTTAATGGATTCTTTGACATTACTCTTTTGCCTATGGGGGACATTTCATGTTCAAACTGTAACTGTCAGTGGTCAACAGTTTACAAAAGGATTCACATAATGTCAAAGGCAATGCTGGAATCATAGAAGGTGAAATGGTATGCTAAAGTGGGATGAACAGTTTTAGTTGAAAAACAATGTTTTGCTGTAATGTTGAAATAAAGTAGAATGATTTTCCCTGAAATGGGTATATGAACAATTCCCTAGCATAGGCTCTTGTAGACTGAAGGAGGACCAGAGCACCCAGTGGGCACTCATGACATCATAAAGTCTGTTGTCACAAAAGCCTCTTTCTGACCAAGGAGGAGCAGCGATGACACTTGCTGGCTATAAAAACTGCTGTTTTGGGAGACACCAGATCAGAATACATACCATCATCCATCATGCAAAATGGACGATAAAAGACTGAAGGCTAGAAAAGCTTGCTCCTCAAGAGCAGAGCTGCAGTTCTCTGTTAGCAAAGTAGAACGTGCCCTTCGAAAAATATACTTTTCGAAAAGGCTGAACACTTCAGCATCTGTTTTCCTCATGGGAGTGCTCAAGTATTTGACATCCAACATACTTGACCTGGCTGGCAAGGAGGCTCGCAACAGCGGCAACAATGTCATTACCCAAAAGCACCTGATCAAGGCAGTTCTGAACAACAAGGAGCTCATCCAACTCTTCAAAGACAACAAATATTTGATTGATGAAATACCAGGACCCAGTGAAACACCAGGACCCAGCGAAAAGTGATGATGCTGGAATCACAGAGGCTGGAATCCCATCTTAAAGTCTCAGTTCAACCTCAATGTCTTCCTTGCTGGTGAAGGAGGGATTTTGTTGGACATTTTATTAAAGTGTCTAAACGATTTCTAGTGATTCTGATTCATTTCAGTGCGTCATTTGGGGATACGGGTGATCATCAACACCCAACAGGTGTAGGATTGGGTTGGGTTGGTTGAGGTAGGGGGTGGCACAGAAACTGTGATTTCTGGGGGGAGGTTTTGATGGGGATGATGTGAGCAGTGGCCTTGGTATGAAAAGGTGGCAGATGAAGAGGACAGAGTGTAAGTGTTGCAGCTCAGACGGAAAGGCTTCCGCTACAGAAGTGTTACAGCTCTGCTTCTGCTGCTGCAGGGAAGAAGACACTGTCTCCAAAAGTGTTACAGTCCTGTTCTGACTGGGGCAGAAGTCTGGTAGTCTGGGGTCCCTAGTAAAAGTGTGACAGTTCTGCTTCTTCGGGGAATGGCTTCCCTGCGCAAACTATTACACCTCTGCTCCTGTATAGTGAGGCTTTCCCCAGTAAAAGCTCTCTTCCTGCCAGTGCTACAGCTCTGATCCAAGAGGTATCCTGGCAGTCTCAAAACATGGAATACCACAAAGTCACATCACACAACAAACCTCACAAGAAGGATTTATTGGGAGGAGAAAACCCAGGAGGCTGTCTATCTCTGCTTGGGCAAGAAACAGCAGGGAAGGGAGCAGAAGGGCAGAGTTTATATGGAGTTTCTTAGAGTGGCAGAGCTTTACAGGGTGGAGATTTCCAGGGTGAGGATTGGTGACATTTCAGTGCCTGAGCTTGGGGGAGTTTGAATAGGTGGGTTTTCCTATTCAGGGATTAGTGGGTTTCTAGAGCAAGCTCATGGATCAGGGATCAGTGGAGCTCTGTTTCTTGGCCCTAGGTTTAGGGCTTGGGGTCAATTCAGGGTCAGAATATCCTTTCTTTGGCCCTAGTCATGGGGTTAAGTGTGGGTCATTGTGTCCTTTCCTTCACCCTGATCTTGGGGTCAACTTGGAGTCAGTGTGTTCTTTTCTTGGGCCCCCATCTTAGGGTCAAGTCTGGGTCAGTGTGTTCTTTCCTTGGCTCCAGTCTTGGGGTCAGTGTGTTCTTTCTTTGGCCCTGGTCTTGGGATCAAGTTAGGGTCAGGGTATCCCTTCCTTGGCCCTGGTCTTAGGGTCAAGTCAGAGTCAGGGCTTCTTCTCTTTACAAAAGCTGTCCTGGTAGTCTATGAATGTAGAAGACCTTGGGATGACTAGTATGGTACTGCTCTCTGGAGAGGGATTAGTGAAAACATGGACTGTGGTGGGGAAGACATCATTCTTGGGTGGAAATGCTTCAGGTCAGTAGGTGATGGCAGTTGTTGGGAGGAGGCCATTGAGCATTGAGTGGACCACTGTTAGCATTAACTTTAAGGATCAGGAGTGTTGAATGAACACTGAGGGATAATGGTGAAACCAGAAGGAAATATACAAAATAGAAACTATGATCTATGTTTTCCTTTAGAAGAATTTAATTTTCTGACTCATTTTAAGAAAGAATGCTGTGTGGGATATATGCTTTAGGGTTTTTTTGTGCACACTGGTACATTGAACAATTGTATATGAATGCTATTTGGCCTAAGACCTACAATTTAGGCAGATCTAACTGGCTATGGAACATTGGTTTCTTCTAGTCCAGTGGCTGGCAGTGAAGATGCCATGGAATTACACATTATATGCATATAACTTGTCTCAAGTAATGTTCTTTGTGTGAACAGCCTAGTTCTCAGGCCTAGAGTACTTAGTTGGTTAAACAGCTATCTGATGTTGAAAAACCATTTATTTGGCTTGTGCCTGTAGCTTATAGTAGTCTTAAACATAGTCCTCGGGTTATGTCACAGGACAGCATCAAAGAGGAATTGATCTAATACGATAGAAGTTATAGAAGATAGGTTGGTTAAATATATAGAATGAACAGTTGTGTGTAGGTTTTATAGTTCACGCAGTAGTTTAAAGGTTCCTGGTCTCTTTTAGATAGTTTCTTTTCTGGGCAAGGTTTGGAATTTGGACTTGATTCAGCCATTGCTAGTGAAGCAGTTGTAGAATCAAGGATCAACAGGGGTACTCACTTTAAACATTGTGGTGAGCTATGCCTATGGGTTTTATAGGAAACATGGGTTTTCACAAGTAGACACTCATTTTATACAATTGTATAGCAAGAAGAATGCAACTTAAAGTCAAATAATCTTTCCATGTTATGCAAAATAAAATTATAAAGTCATTAAGGGTAGATTGTTGATCAAAATATTTGTAAGCAAAACAATCTACTTTATTTTCTCATGAGCGTTGTGCAAGTCCTGAGCATCCGTATTTTAATCACTGGCAAAGATCAGTTTGATGTGCTTTTTTATTTGAAAACATCTAAAAGATAGAGGACACAAACTAATACAGGTTATAACCAAACATCTACCTTAGTAACTGACGGCTGGGGATACAGCTCAGTGTCAGGAAGCTTGTACAACACGAGTGAGGCCTTAGGTTCAATCCCTAACTCAATAAATATAAATAGATGCCTATATTTAGAGAGAGAGAGAGAGAGATAACAACTAAAATCATGCCACTATAGTGGTGCTTACCACTGTCTGCAAGGAAAGTACTGCAAAAGCACTGGTACATTAAAGATAATCATCACTCACAATTGTCTAGTTTAGTGGTTCTCGGTCTTCCTAATGCTGTGACCCTTTAATATAGTTCCTCATGCTGTGGTGACCCCCAACCATGATATTTTTGTTGCTACTTCATAACTGTAATTTTCTCCATGTTATGAATCATAAGATAAATATCTGTTATGCAGGATATATGATATGTGACCCCCCAAAGGGGTCATGACCCACAGGTTTGGGGTCACTGATCTAGTGACACACTTTCTAAAATTTTTAATAATAGTTCCCATACCCTAATTTGAGCACTAAATAATATATATTATATTGAAATAGCACAGTGTTTTCTGAAACAGGTATAATTATTATATATACTCTATAAATGAAATAGTATACAAATATAATCTGTGGCAGGTCTTGAGAACATATTTTTAAATTAAAATTTTATTCATTTATTTATTTTTCAAGGAATGGTAACAAACTATCTTTAATCTGGAACTCAGAAGGCAGAGGCAGGTAGATCTCAGTGAGTTTAAGGCCAGGTTGACCTACATAGTGAGTTTCAGGCAAGAAACTATAATATAATAAAAACCTGTTCTTATGAAAAAAATGTGCTGATATGTTGAGTCATGTTATCATGATGTGGGTTTTGCTTACACAACCATATTATCGAAATTTCATAGATGCTATGTGCAGAAGAGCAGCAGGGTTGTTCATTCTCTGGCTCTTACAATCTTCTCCAGCCCTCTTCTGAGTTGTTCCCTGAGATTTAGATGTAGAGGTTGCTTTGTAGCTATCCCATTTAGGGCTGAGAATCCCAGGGTCAACTACTCTGGATTTTGACCAGTTGTGACTTTCTATATTGGTCTTTGTCTTCTGCAAAAAGAAGCTTCTTTGATGAGGGTGAGAGCTACATTTATTTGTGTATGTAAGAATATGTGTTTAGAATACAGTTAGAGGCTGAGTGATTTAGACTGAGAAACTTTTTAATGTAATTAATGACTACTAATATATCAGATACATCTTTTTGTAACACTTTGTTCATCACAAAATGACAGAATAAATAAATATTTGTAACCTTCCAAAGGTTTGGGGTGGGGAGAAAATCCTAACTATGAAATGTATTTTGAAGTATTATGATAAGTATCTAAATTTAAGATGGCTTAAGGAAAGATACAAATAAAATGGCCAGGATATTGGAACATTTGCAATAAGGTCATGGGAGCTTGAAAAGATAAGAGCCTATAGCTATTTATTCCTCATAATGGTGAGACAAGAAACAGTTAAACACTACATCCTATTTTTCCATTCTTTGTTAATATTTATTTATTTTCAGTTGTTTGTAATAAGATGTTGCTATGTAGCCTTAGCTAGTCTTATATTTACTAGGTTTTCCAGGCCGGCATTAGTCTTGGGACAGTTATCTGTGGCTCAAACAACAGTGCTGTGATTCTATGCCCAGACCATTCCTTTTACTTTAAAGAGAATAATCCAGGGCATGATAACATGAGAATAATTTATTGGAAGTTAATTGGTTCACATGCATAATATCTGCTGGGCAGCTGTGGTTAACTGCTCAGGTTTTGAATGAGATAGAGCCTATTAATGTGTTACCATGGAAGCCAGAGGAGCCATTGGCAGTTAACGGTCATGGGAAGGTGAGGGGGAGGGATTGTTTCTTTCCTTAGTAGTGATTGGCAGTTAACAGTTACTTCATGGGGTGTTTTTTTTTTTCCTTCAGCACCATAGTCACTTGTTAAGTCACCTGTGCTTCAGTAAATAACTATTTAAAGAACCTTAATTAAATGTAATTAATTAAATGCCAAATAAAAGACATAAAAACGGGACTAGATGGGAAGATGAAGAAATTCATTAGAAGGAGAAAGAGAATAAGCAGGCAATGGGGGTTGAGCATGATAAAATTTATGAATATAAATTTGTTGGGAGTATATTACTAAGAAGAGAAGAAGGCGAGTTTGCACATTGTGACATTTAGATGTGTATGCATCTACATGTTTTTTAAACCAAGGTTTTTCCAACAAAGAAAATGGGCATATCTGAAGAGCAATCTTTTGGCATGTTTTATCAAGCCAGACTCACGTTGTAACAAAACTTGGTCTGTTTTACAGAGCAAGTCCAATTCACCAAGTTCTGTATCCAGTGTACAAATGTAATTCTAAAGTCTTTACAACCCCTTCTAAAAATTTTATGCATTAACTCATGAACTACGAGTCAGCCTTGAAAACTCATAAAACAAATTTGTTTCCCCTTTCAAATTGTGTTTCTGTAAACTTTCTGAAATTTTCTGTACCAATTCAGTTTTGTTTTATGTGA